GGATATGGCCTTCTGTTTAGAAGCAGGAACATTTGTAAAGTTAACCGTGATATTGATGCATGCACAGTATCGTTCAAAGTGTAACCCATAAATTCATTGTACCACCATGTAGGGTTCTGAAGACGACTTTGTTACCTTTCTTCATGATTGTTAGAACTGCTGAACCAAACTGGTTGAGCTGCGGGACATACTGACGTGATTGTTACAGCAAGATGTCACGTTCCCTCCAAAGTTTGTTCGTGCAACACTTGCAATATGCGAGATTAAGCAGATCTCTTATACGGTCAGGCCAAAACTGCGGAGCTTCAGATGCACATTGACGCAACCGTAGCTGCTACAAAGGTGGGTCAAGTATGGGCGGTGCAGACAACAATATGCAAGGAGTAATAGGGTATAGGCAAAGGCAAGATGGGTCATCTTAGTTATAACGGGACTTCCGCTATAGAGTTTGATGGAACAAGTCAGAACGGTCCAGCTGCACGCGTTGGGTAAGTGTTTCTTGGGCTATGCAGGTGCGGAGATATCAATGCTACTAACTACCAAACTCGTCGTCACCCATTTACAAGCTCACACGTCTTCTTCCATATATATATATATATATATATATATATATATAGTACGTGACTTGCCCCATGATTTCTGTTGAGAGATTTATCGTGGTCTCCTTGGGTTGACTGGGATGTAACCTGTTCGCTCTGTATGGGCCCTCTCAGCTGGTCAATCAAAATATCAACGGCTTTCAGGCTGGGACATTCATATAAGTCATCGCTTCTGCCTACCTCCATGAATTGGTGTCCAATCTTGTCTCTTGACAGTTTGCGTGGTATGTTTTATACCTTAAAACCTCACATTGTCGACTTAGAAGAGCGTCCTACCTCGATTGTGGTTTGTATGGTATTTGGCTAGTTTATGCGCATATGAATAGCACAGTATTGCTGAAGACAGCATCCAACTTGGTTCGTCTTGCTCTCTGCAACAAATGAGGTAGTGCACAATGAACAATGATTTAGCATGGGATAAAAGCAAGTGCTTGACAAGTCCCGTAAGATGGTTGGGGTTAATATACCATGAAATCATAATATATGTGAGTCATCTACTGAGCCTGTACCGAAATGAATGCGTTGATAAATAACGTCAGTGTAAAGTAAAAATCAAGTGTAAGTATGCAGAAATACACGGCGTGCAGTGATTGTTGATGTAAGGTGTTAAAAAAGTAAAATATGGTCGTTCAATATGCGCTGTCTCCCGGGGTCCAAGTGACACCTAAACCCTGTAGAAGGACATGATTGGCGTAATCCAAGACAGCGCAATATAAGTAACAGTGTTGGGAGCTAACAGCAACATCTAATCGTTTTTTAAAAACGTCCAAGGTAGGGGAGGATACAACGGAGCCTGAGAGTGCGTCCCAGGGTTGGCAAACGCGAAGGAAAAAGTAATTACGTAGACACTCTAGAAGGCTATATTGTTCCTTCGATTTCAAGCAGTTACCCCTGAGCTGCGTGTTGTGGCCAAGTTCCAGGAAATGACGACATACATGGTTGAGGTCACTGAATATTTGGCATGCTTATATGAGATCTCCGCGCAGCCTTCGATAGCGTCCGCTGAAAATTCCCAGCAACTTCAGCCTTCTGTGGTAAGTGATAGCGCAGGCCATTTACATACGTTGTTGATCTTTCTTTTGGTGCCTGTAATGCCTCTATGTCGTGCTTCAACCCAGGTTTCCAAGCTTGGATAGTGTGTTCATCATGTGGGTGCACGTAGGAATTGTGCATCCTTTGGGAGATTGATGAGTCCAATCTCCCGAATGCCGTTCGCAGCATGCCGATGTGCTGGTTGCGTCTTTTCGCAGCTACCTCAGCCCGTTTGGAACAGTTGAGCTAGCGCTGTATGAGCACACCAAAGTCACGTTCCAAAGAGCTGGTCTGCAATACATGTGCCCCAAGCAAATATGTGTAGTCATGTCTATGGCGTAATTGTACAACGCGACATTTATCTACGTTGATTGGTAGGGCGTTTTGAAGTGACCAGTTCGACACTGTGTTAAGCTCGCGCTTGAGCCCTTCGTGGTCGTCCGGTCTTCTCAACATTCGTCGTATGTTGATATAATCCGCGAAAAATAGAAAATCGGAAGCAATTGATCTCGCCAATTCGTTAAAAACACCAAGCATAGACCAGGCCAAAGCACCGAGCCTCGTGTTACACCACACTCCATATCAATTCCATCGGACCGAGACTTCCGGACTCTCACCTCCAATCGACGTCCGTGTATAAAATTGCTATTCCAAAGTAGGATTGGGTCAGCAGTGCCGTAGTTCCGAAGCATGTGAAGGAGAATTCTATGGTCTGAGCGATCAACCGCCTTTGAAAAGTCCAGATCTATGACATCAACTCCTGCTCCAACATCAACTGCTTCAGTCCAGCTGTTACGTGCAATTAACAGGTTAGTAGTACATGAACACTTTTGACGAAAGCTGTGTTGCTCTAGAGAGCTATTAAGTTATGGCTTCAAAGTTGCTGCATTAGCGCACCCGGGATGACTGATTCCATAGGTCTGAATAGTAAAGGAAATAGTGTTATTAGACGGTAGTTGGTAGGGTCACTGCGGCTACCTCCTTTATGGATAGGAGTGATGACCCCTCACTTCCATACTGAAGGAAAATGGTTCTCCTCTAGACATCGCTAATAGAAAACAGCCAGTGGTTCTGCTAGCTCACTGCAGAGCCTTTGATCAGATGTTGTCAACTCCAGGAGAACTGTGGATACGCAAGGATGACAACTTCAACACAACTACCGCAGTGAAGGTGATGTCTAAACCCGATGGTGGAGTAATAGAAACAAGGAGAATATGTGGGCTCGGTATCTGCTGGAAAGTTTGGAAGCGATGAATCCGTAGGAGATCAGCTGCTTCCATTGCTGATCGCGCGCACCCATCAGCTGTGAACAGTGCTGGAATCCTCCGCTTCACCTTTCGAAGGCCGTTAACGTGCCTGTACAGGATTTGCGGTCCGTACAGAATGGCTTCATTAACTCCTGCTGATGCGTGACTTTGTCCTCGAGGACAAATTTCACACAGAAGTTTCGGTGTGTTACGTATGCAGTCCAGGTTGCGACATTCGAGCAGTCCTGGTGGACTTACCATGCCAAATCCCTCCGGGACATACATTTACGTCTTCTGCTCCTCAGAAATGACTTATAGTCGTTTTCGCGTTGGTAGGACTTCTGTTCTGATGCTTGCGCTGCCAGTGTACTAAACGTCCTTGCGAACATTTCCGAGGCAACGTCTGCGGGGCATTCGGTTAAGAAAGTCCAAGATGTAAGCTTAACAAGCGTAGCTAACATGTTATAGTGTGTGACAGTATGCACTTTACCCTCCTCCTTTTCAGGATATTCCGCATAACATATATTGTCAAAGAATAAAGTTTCATGATCAGTGCGGCCAAGCAGCATGCTTGTAACCATTCCGTCGACCATGAGTTCTTCATTAGTGAGCACAAGATCCATTATTGATGGCTGTTAGCAGTTCGAAATCTGGTGGGATAGGTTACGTGGTTGTACAGAGTGTGGTTAGCAATTAGCACTTGCAAGCGAACATTAAACTGCGCACCATCGGTTGCTGGCGTTTCCATGTCATGCACGTTAACGTCTCCAGCTATAAGAATGTGGATGTAGGACTTGTTAAAAGCAAACTGAAAGATGCGGTTCGGTTTGGAATCCATTTCCGACATAGAGTTTGATGGGTAGTAAATCACGGCTAGTAGACATGTGTCCTTGTTCCGCAGCCGTAGGCGGCACCAAAGCGAATCAGGAACGCGGATTTCCGGGTGATGAATAACTTTACATCGGAGGTTTGTATTGTAATAAAGAACCACACCACAACCCCTTAAAGTTCTATTGTTCCGAAGCAGGAACATACCAGGTAAATTGATCTCGGAATCGATAGTGTGACTGGGGCACTTACCCATTAGTGCAATTAGCTCATGCAACTTGAGTAAAGTCACAAGGCGACTGTCAATTGCACTTTGAGTGCTGATGTTGTGAGGGCATTCTAGTATCCCCTAATAAGAAAAGGCATAATCTACAAGTGTGAGCTGGGTAGTGCGTTCTGTTCATTTTAGATTGCATATCAACAACTGACTCCGTCCGACACCGTTACCATCAAATGAATGCACACTGCATCTGGCATTGAAGCAATAAGGAATGTCCGACTTCAGGGTGGAAACTTGAAGACTTCTAATAAGTAGACAATGGAGCGAGTGGGTTGCGTGACGCCATTGTGGAATCTTTTGAATGACGAATATGAGCTGCTTAATCGCGTGACACTTACGTCCACCCAAAGTTCGATAGGGTGATGGATTATTGTTCTGTGTAGTTAATTGTAAACACTGAGCTATGTCACCAGTTTAACGTGTGTTTTGAACAGTCGAGTAGAAAGTAGTTCGTCGGTAGTGAAACCATGGATGTAATATCCGCTGGCAAATACTTATAACACTAAGCATGTTAACTCGGACAACCACGATTGTCCAACGGTTGAGAGCCCAATGTTGAATTGTTGCGACGCCGGCAAAGTGTGTAGGTTGCAAGACGCAGTCTTCATTTAGACATTGAATGGTAGATGTCTATGTGATGTGAGTTTAAGAATGAGAAAATAGGAACCATGAAAAACTACTAACTACTTGCAGTACTCGGGGAAGAGGCGTAGAATAATTTTATTATACGAATGAAGCAACTTCAAAGTATTGGGGTCAAACTCGCGGACATAACAAGCGATAAAGAATGAGAGCGATAAGTGCTGGACCAATATGCTGTTGGATGAGACCCATTTTTCAACATAGGCAAGCGGACCACAGTCAGAGAAATGTGCACCGGAGTGATTGGCTTAGAAACAAAACAAACTTGACACTCTTCTACACGATGAGCTCAATATATTTTAGCGGTGCTTAAGAAGCGTATCAGTCCCATTAGCTCACATCTGCCTAACTTGCTAATCTGCCATACAACAGGCCGCCGATCTTCGAGTGCCTCCCGAACTACATTGGAAGGGCAACGACCGATGCCCCGCAGACGCAAACAAGTTCACGGTTGCTACAGTGGCGACAAACGGTCATCTCTACATGGGAACGGAAGTGATCGCCCCTGACGGGGCCAAGGCCATATCTATCTTGCGAGTGGCTGCGGATACGAATCACGCCAGATGGCCAGACGCCATGCATATCAGCCGGACAGAGCCCAAGGATGATTGGATTGTACAGAATGGTAAGTTCTCGAGGGAATGCACACAGTATAGGGATTTTACAACTAGATTCCTTGGCTACCGGAACCGATTTCAGTCCAGAAAACACTGTGCAACATCATTTCTATAACAGCATTAAGATAGGATGTTACCAATTGAGCTGCTTACGAAGATGCAAATCAAATATTTCTATCACGTCGAGATGTTAGTTTCAATTTTCAGTTCAGCTAAATAGTGCGTTCCGTGAATCGAATGCTCGCCTGTGATTGGTCCATTGGCTTCCTGTACTCGTGGAAAAGAAGTCTTCTTAGCCATGGTATCCACCTGATACTGAAAGTTGATCGAGAGCTGTGTTTCCTTAACTGATATCTTGATCATGGCTGAAAGACGCTGCTATGTCTGTGACCAAAATCATTTTTGTTACTTCTGTTGACAGTTTACTACAAACTCGCAGTGCAGACTCATTTCTTCATTACTAAGGTCTAACTACCACGCATTTCGGGATGCAACTGAGAGATGAGGATAAGAAGCGTTCGCCCCGTATTGTTTGTATGTCGTGCAATTTTTCATCTTACTAGTGGCTCAAGGGCAAACGCAAGATGCCCATGGTGTGGATGGAGCCGAAGGATCACACGACAGACTGTTACTTCTGCTTAACCAGTATCCTTGGAATCTCCAACCGAAACCACTGGTCTTCCATAAGCTTTTTGACCTGTTCCTCATGATTGCACCTTACGCATTCCAGTGCATCCAATGAAAGTGTCACTGATGATGAGTAAGCATTTGTCATCGTTAACTTCCCCTGATTCTGACATCTGTGAAAAATTTGAACCGGATGTTGTCAAACCACATCTTATTGAATAATCAAAACTGAATGACTTAGTACTTTACTTGGGCTTGCCTAAAGACAAGGCCCCGTTGCTGGCATCTCGACTGCAGTAGTGACACTTGCTTGCTGTAAACACTTGGGCTACTGTATACGGAAAGCGGTGTTAAATCGTCTGATTTCTATGACACGAGAGCAACCTTTTGTTACTGTTCTGACGTGGAATGACTGATGAATGAGTTTGACGTGAGGCATATCAGTGATGAATGACATTTGTTCATTGACTCGTCCAAGAGTAGTCTTAAGGCCAAACTGTTCCACAATGGAAATGTGTACCCAACTGTGCCCCTGTTGCATATCACCAATATGGATGAGAATTACGGAAGTATGCAACATACTCGCTGCACTGAACGAAGATAAGTATGGTTGGAACATCTGTGCTGGCTACTATTGTGTATGTAATGAGGCTTCACAAAATATTGCTGTTTCCTGTGCTTATGGGACAGTAGATCAACTGAACAGCAATATACAACCGAAAAATGGCCAGAGAGGATGGAGTATGATGCAGGAAAATCAGTGTAAAGCAAATACCTCTTGTGTAACCTGATCATGCCTATCTACTACCCTGCACATCAAGCTTGGTTTGATTAACCACTTTGTCAAAGTCCTTAAGCTAGATGGTTTTGAGTTCCAGTACCTGAAACAAATGTTTCCGAAGAGCAGTGATGCAAGGTTCGAAGAAGGGATAGGTATTGGGTCTGAACTTCGTCGGATAATCGCAGACAATGCTTTCGAATTCCAGTTGACTTCACTTGTGTTAGAAGGTTGGAGAACATTCAAGGCAAGGTGTTCAGGATTTTTAGGCGGAACAAAGGCAAAGGACTACAAAGACATCACATCGTGGACTATCGGACAGTTGGGGCTCGAATGCCCCTCAAGATGCACCTGTTGCATAATCACCTTAACTTTTTCCCCTAGAACTTGGGATATGTTAGCGATGAGCATGCTCAGCGGTTTCAGCAAGACATTTCAGTCGTGGGACAGCGCTAAAGTGGCAAGTATACGCCTTCTATGATGGGCGACTTTTGCTGGTTTCCACAACGTGAGGGCACTGGATCATACAAGCGACAATCACAGCGGTCATCATTTCGCAGGCAGGCTGCAGTCAGGATGTTGTAGCGAGTATTACAGTGATGCTTTAAACCTATTTGCCACATAGACGCGTTCTGTGTATGTTGTGATTCAGTATAATCACATATAGTTCGTACGACGTAGCCTTGACATTACTGAAAATAAGCAGTTGATTATAACAATGTAACCTGACATGCTAGGTGACATCGGAATACATTTCTAAGATCAGTGGAGTGGATGTTGACGTTTCTGTCACAGAAAAGAAACATATTTTTTGCGCAATGTAAGTATATCCAGTTTGTAAATACGAATGTTTAATACAACTCACTGCAATTTCTTTGGCAGATGACTTGGGTAGCGGTGCGACAAACGCAAGCCCTTATAGTACTCGGCGAAAGTAACTACACCACTCGAATGGAGGTTTCGCGCTGCTATCCATAGCGTCTTGTTTAGTAATGGTGCGGTATATCCTTTTGAAACTTTGCACATGATCAATAAAATTTTTGGAGGATGTTTATATCTACAGAGAATTCACTGTTTCAATGGACTGCAGTTCGGACAGCGGTCGATAATCGAGCACGAATCAGCAAGTACTGCACCCGGTAGTGATTCCGATTAGCACCTGACAGAGACAGTTCCGTCTGAACCGTTTTCTCAACCCACTCAGACGAGCTGCACAGTTGAGGCTTGCGCTTTCAATGTAGCTATGGGAAATTGGGCGTACGGAGGAACAGTACAACCATAGCGAAGTACGTGCAAGTAGCTAATGTTGGGCAAATCCAGTAGGAAAATTAAAACAAAGGTTACCAAATAAGACGCTGGCAGTGGAGTTAACATGGTATACACGAAAAAGCACATACATCGGTTCGATTGCACTGTATATGCAAGGTTGACGAAGATGTTATCGATTTGTGCTGCAATAGCAATTTGGCACACTTTTCGATAGATCGAGGTACACCCCATTTGACAAGATGCGTTGTTTTCCCGTGAACAAAGGGAATTTTGCATTGTCAGCTAGGCTTCTGAATGCTACCAGCCTGCATGTACGCGTAACGTGGTTTGAAAGAGTATACTGATACACTTGCACAGCTGACGTTTTACGATGGTATCGTATTCAGAGGAACTGCAGGGGCAACTTCATCTTGTGGTCCATACATTACGCATTGTGGAGAAGTGTCTAGTGGAGGCGGCAGAAGGGTTCGAGTCCTTGTATAGCTGGTGAATCCACATGAGAGCAGACTGTAGACGTCAACGCAATCCGCCGTACCCTAGGACGCGTACTTTACATTATTGGCTACATTCCGCTGTGAAGTCGGAGGTGCTGCAAGATCATAATTTTACCGGAACTAACAGGCTTCCATGATGTACTCTTCACGGGCTTCAGGTAAATGATTTGGTTAATTTGAGAGATGGAAGGAAAAATCCTTCCGAAAGTCAAGCTTCGAAGGTAATGTGTTGGTTCCGGGTTCACAACCTCCAATTGATTCTAGCAGACAAAATTAGACTGCAATTTATCCAGTAGTCCGCAATACTTGTTTCCGATAAGATAATGCTGAGCGATAATATATGTGCACAGCTTACGTTTAACTATGTTAAAGCCGACTCCATACTACCCGCACTTAGACCCGGCCACGTAAGTTCAGCAAAACCTATACTCCTGTGGTCTGTTAATTTTTCGTTTTATTTCAACCTGTTGGGCTAAGTTCAATAAACCAACCAGGCTCGGGATCTCAAAGTCGTAGCGCGCACCGCCAGTAGATGCGGCTCCGGCACTGAACCATATGGAACTCGGTTTTCCACTTGTATTTGACTACCCCTTGTGCTTCGAATTCTCGCCTGCATCATCTCTGGAAGAAAAACCAGTCCGTACGAGGACACGATACTCGATTCCAATTTGTTGGATGCTAGCCGATCTTACACTTCAAATAGTCGTCCATACTAAGGCGACATAGATTGGCAAAAGCTTCACTGTCTAGCTTTGTTGGAAGTGCATACAAACACGCCTTTGTGAAGCCTGTTTCCATGACGAATTTGTGCCATGCAGAGGGCAAAGCTTGACGAAGAGTTCTTACATAAGACTTTACTGCCTAATGAGAGTGTTTTATCTAGATCCACAACTGACTATCCAGCGTGAAATTGCCAATGCAAATGACAGAGAGTGAGTTATTTGTTCCTGCCGTTCAAAGATGCATAATTCACAAGCGGCATTGGGCGCAAACGCAGGTCAGAGCCCATCTACGCAACTGCTCATAGACGACTTACCCACACCACACGATGCCTTGTGCTTCATCACAATACAGCCAGTTCATCGGGCAGTGTGGCCTCCCATGTTAACCACAAATTCCACTGCAGTTTCAATGAACAATGAACAAAGATGTATCACGGGTAAAAAAGCAGGTACCTGACAAATTCTGTAGGATGGCTAGAGTGAACACCAAAATAAAAGGTATCAAAGGATAAGTGGACCATCAGTTTAACTACTCTGCTTGGTGAAGGTTTCATTGGGAGAAATGACCCTCGAATGGCTCAGTGTTCTTAGACCTTGAAATTTGCTGAAGGCAGTCGATGTCACCACAAGTCGGATTGAACCATGAGACAAAACGGAACTCCGCCTTGTCTATTGAAAAGCACTTCGCAACGAGTATCCTCAGGTGCACATATCGGACGCTTCCAACTACTCCTGTGCTCCAAGAATTCGAAAAGACTGATGATTAGTGATATGTTGCTACTCATGAATCATAGACAATGGAGTATTAGGGGTAAATATGCAAGCGCTTAACAACTCCCACAAGATGGGACAAAACGTCGCCCAGCGCTATGCGTATGGAAACTGTTGAAACAATCAGTTACGTTGCCGTGGTCCTGAACACTTGACAGGACTGTTTATGAATGTTTATTCTAGGTATGTGAATTTGTTTATATCACAGATGTACTGCGGTTAAGCATGAGAAGGGTAGGCGGAATGTAAACATTTTCGTTTTCTTCCTGCATCGATGAGGTGGAACAAAAATGATCCACAATATCCAGCACCGCGTTAATATTTGCGTCTATTCGTTTCCTGTACAACAAATGTTTATTACACGGCTCGCGCAAACCCACTAGATACCTTGTTGTCCCCGTCACCAAGAGTGCTGCATGATGCATAGTAGGACTGTCACAAGAGGAGATTATTGTCACATGGTTCTTGCTGGTGTCCAATCATCGATCAGGAGATGGAACGAAGGCCGAGAATTGCGAACTATATAGCGGGTACCATCGGTGATTGTCTCCGGGGCCTGTACGCTTGTTGGTGGCGAGTAGAGAACCTCTGGAAGCGAGTCCATGTGGACTGCTTCGATCCAACCGGTGAGATGGTACTTATACTCTTGATTACTGTACAGACTACATGGAAGGCAGTACCGCCCATGGTACGTGTTATTTTTCAGAAAAGAACATAATTTGCTCGCCGTGTCCTCCATCTTTTCCGCTAAAAACGGATTTTCATTGTCACGAAGACGCCAGTTACCGACGAGGAGTTTAGGAAATTGATGAGTGATAGAGGAAGACAACAGTCCTACTTAATTTCCCCAGCTTTGGACGCAATAGTATGTAATACAGTTTAGAGGGCTAAACAGGTCCACATAAAGTGTAACTATCGAAGCATCAGTTTGTTTGACTCAGAACACCAACAATGTCGATAGAACAGTCATCAGCTGAGCTGCTGTTTGATCTGTCTTTAAGGACTTGTTTTTGCTAGTTTTTACGGATCCCCGAATATGGATAGAAGCAAGGTAGGCGAAGATGTGTTGGAATATTAAGACGTCAGAAGGAATGTATCTTAAGAAGCCAAAACCCGGTGTACACCAGTGTGACGGCTAGCAGCACTTCTGACCCCTGCCGGTAACCATTAGAAGCTGAAGCTGGCAGACGGCGATGTAGTGCGGCCCCATTTGGACTGTATTCGACAACATAAGATCGAGCCGCATGAAGTGAACCGACAGTCGACCACTGTTGGCTGACATATGAGGTGTTGACCACCAAAAACTGGAATGTTAAGGGACGCATAACTTGAAGTGTGGTTGTGTATCAGCACTCCAGAGGCAGTTGTTCGTTAGCAATCAAGGCTCTCCTTTTTTACCACAGATGGCAAGGGTCTCCTGACAGCTCGGTGCTACTGAGCATGGACACACAAGGTCATATCCATGGCTGTTTGGTCTTGCCACACTGGACTTAAATTGCCGTCATCCGTTTTGGCATTTTGACCACATGTGAAGTAGACAACATACATTAGTTAGTACACATCTACACTGCGTGTTCTGTTACGTTTTTTGGGAATTGATCCATCGGTAACAATTCGCATTTCGTATTCTGTTTCGGCACCCTCTAATAAAACACATCCTTTGGGTGGTCAGTTATTTTTGCGTCTTGCCTTGATAGCTCTTAGCTTTACTGGTTAATGCATCATGCGTCACTGCGGCCGACCGGGCAGTGCATGCGTTCCTGCGAGCGTTTTCGTGTGCATCAGTACGTGTGTGTGATTCGTCCCTTCACTGCGCTCATTAGTCCATGTTACCCAACCAAAACACCGACTTGGAACCCAGCGTACACTACCGTCTGCTTACCCACCAAACGGTTGTACACATGCATGCATCAATTGCTCGGTACATATTTCTGATTTCACTTTTATGTACACTGGTTTTATCGGAAATCGGTGCTGGTGCTCCTTTTAAATCATAACTTACACTGTTTGTTTTGATATCTAGACTGTATTTATCCCGTTGACCAGTTACTGGCGCTCAGTTTGGGGTTTGCAGAATATACGTTTTGTGTCCCAGTCGTTTCGTGCTTACTGAACTCACTGCCGACCTAATGTTTCTTACCTTTGCTTGATCGCTATTGGAATTAGATATCTCTTCACCTAAACGACTCGAATTTACTTCTGCTCCTACTGCTTTGTTGAACGCTAAAATTCCAAGTTACGATGTAAGACTCTGCTCTAGCAGTTTAGGCAAGTGTATAGCCAAGTAGAGAGTTACCGAACCCGGCCATTTAGACGTCTTCACCACTAGATCCTTCGTAGGAGTGACTAGATTCACGTCGGTTTATTTGCACTTGTGGTTTCTTAAAAGTAGCTTCGAAAGCAAGTAGGTCATCACATAATCGGAGAGGCATGAGATGACCGTATCGACCTGTTGGGTCTCGCCAGTAGTGTGCATGTATCGGATTCATCAGTATCTGAACCCATGACTACTAGGGGCATGCCTTTATCAATATATATATATATATATATATATATATATTAAAAAAATTTCCAACTACTATGCCGTACATAGCTACTGTTAGTGGGAGCCGTGTTTCTCGTGGTCAACTCTTGCCTCTGGCATGGTCATAGAAGTAGACTATGGGACGCAATATATTGCAGTTTACTTGTAAATTATGATGATCCACTGCTACCCCTACGGGTCAGTGGCTGGCTGATGTTACAAACGCTAGTGCTCACCGGTTCGGATCCTGATGCAGCCGATGGGTGCGCACTTTTGACAAGAGGTTGAAACGACTGTCTAGTGTTTTTCAGAGCATCTAGAGCAGTGGTTAATTAGGAAGTTGCTGCGAAGAAACTCCCAACTATTTATGTCAAAAATCCTCTCCTCAGGACTGCAGTTGAACCTGAGTTCTTGTGTTTTGCGAACTCCAGTTATATTCATCCTACTCAAACATAGCCTAAGCAGCACGGTGACATACATCGCGCTACATTATCACATGCAATAACGCGTAGATGACACCATATCCAAGTGTTAACGGGGTCCAATCTATGCAAAATGCTCAGTTCTCTGCCACGGCTGCATGCATCACACGCTCCAATACAAAGGATTTGCACACAAAGAATGTGGAAACAAATTAATCCTCCATCTACTTGTAAATGACGCTGGGTTTATTTGATACAGCTGTACTTCTTTTCGCTTGTGACTGTTGGTAGTTTAAACCATGCGTTGACCAAGCGACCAGTTTTCTCATTCCCAACAAGCTGGCTCAAGTTCAGGTGCCTTCAGGTGGGTCTGGAATGATAGGAGATTCCCGCAAACCTTCCTCCATGAGCAGATCATTGAACCAAGAGTTGGCAAGGTGCCCCGACTTCTTGATGGTTCTAAACCAGAGCACCACAATCACACGCTGGAAACCAAGAACTGCCCACATTTCTAGCACTAACAGTCCCTGCTATGCCATTTACGTGAAGTAATTATTACCCTATGCATGTGACCAATACCCACTGGGATGAGAACGCCCATCAAGTGTATCATTATGTCTACTAACCGTTTAGAACGAACTTCGTTTGTGCGGTCGTTTGAGTACAACAACGCGGTATATTTCATCTTCAAAGAGGTGGCTCAAGAAGTTAGCGAGACTTGTGGGAAGGAAGTAAGTCCGTACAATGTGCATCTTATAATCGTTTTCTGAGGAACTAATTATCTCCTAGTGTTAGCAACGTATATTTTAACCTCGATGAAGTATATAGGCTACCTAACATGAGTGGAACCAAAGGGAATAATGTTTGCTGCGTACAAGATTTTCTAACTTTCAAGTACACCAATTCTGGGCGCTCTTCAACTGAGCTTAAGCCAATCGCGTTCGACGGTTGCGGCGCATTTAAAGTTATTTCTGCGTTGCATTCATGATGGGCTAAGTGGTAGCAGAATCCGTAAGTGTCGTTTCTTGGTTGAGCACCTATGCACAGATTGACGTGACTATGCAAAGTCACCGTGAAGCTAAAACGAAGCACCCGAATCACGCACGATCCGGTCGGTGGATTTCTGTCCTCGCACATCACATTAATTGGTCTTGCTGTACCAGAAAAACAAATGGTGAAAAACTCGGATGGAAAGAAAGCAAGACGGGCAAAGATTACCAATTAGGCCAAAGATAATGCCAAAGCATGTAAATCATAGAAAAGGAGTTCAGGGTTAAATATTAGAGTCGGGTTATACAAAACATAAGATGCCATGTACAAAGTAACTGGAGACTATGCACGTTATCGACAGGGTTGCTGCTTAGGATTCATTGGAACGCGGAAAGGTAGAAAATCCTGAACCAGATCGAGAGCGAAGATGACGTATTGAGAAAGAGAATGAAGAAAATATTTTCCGATATAAGCTACTGCAGGTGATTTGATGTCAAGACCTATTGCTTCTGTATTTTATCAATGAAACTGCAATACTAAGTGAGAATATACCTAAACCGAAATGGATTTTGAATTTGAACTTTACCACTTAGCAGTGGGTTTGTGCGTAAATCCAACAAATTGAAATCAAGTTGATTGACGGCTATATTTGGGTCATGAGCTGCCCCATTTCCAGTGAAGTCTGAATAGCCAATTGATGGGTAAATTATGAACACGTGTATTTGCGTCTCGTAGCACTCAAGTAAGAACTGAAAACCTGATGGAGTTCCACGCGGGTGTACGAGTTTGAAATTATCCGGTTATAGTCACCTAAATGACAGAAGATTACCCGTCGTCATAACGGCTTAAGGAGAGAGGTCGAGGAGACAAGCACAGCTGTAACTACAGTATTTGTGATGAAGGATAAAGGAGTGAGTACTGTAGTTGACCATTATGTAGCCACTAGTGCAATACCGCTGGAAACCCAAGGCAATAGTAAAGTTGTAAATCTATCGATGCTGCTCTATAATAACTAGACAGATGTAGTGTGACTGATCTCGAAATGACTGCTTCCGAGTGACCTACTTTGTCCGCCACTAGTTGGCAGTTACTTTCTGAAGTATACAGTTACGAACGCCCACTGTGGCATTTTGATACCAGCCTTGTGTAGTTTTAATAAACCTACTCCCCATAGCGTGCACATTAGTTCAATTGCTTAATGTAACCTGTTTTGACCAGATTTCACATTCGCTCACTACCTGTACCAACTCACACTAGTGTTCCACTAATATCCCTAAAATCTAGTACTTACCTCTAAATGCGTCACACCATGCGCACCAGACGCAAGTCATGGTTATTACTATAAGTTAATCACTACTGTTCTCATAACTCGCGATGATTGTTTGTCAATTGAGGTACCTGTCAACCTGCAAAACGTGGTGCCGCTAAGAGCGTTACACTACTGTGCATCTAGTGAAGTATCTACTGCTGCATCTAATCTAATTTTCCATGTTTTTAATCCCCCAGGTGATGGTAGCCAGAGTTGGAAGGATTTGTCTAGTAAGTATGATCCATAATTTGTCCTGCATTTGCAAAACTTATCCAGTGAGATTGTGGCGGTGTGTTTAAAAAATGGTTGTCACCGGTGGCAATGTTTTCTTCTACCATTCCATTGAACAGCGTGAAAAGTTGCAAACTAGGTCTGTGGTATATTGCGAAATGGTTTACTTTTAAACATAACTGGGTTTACCATGCATACAGTACGGCCTGAGTAGCATCGCGCTGATAACTTGAGGGTTTTTAATGGTGAAGGCTAGTAACTTAGTGGCATTTAGATCGTCAGTCCGACTTGAAATTGCGTGCATCCGCATCGGTCGAAGATCAGGTAACTGAAGTACTTGAAGTTGGTTAGCTTTCCAAACAGCAGAATTGTTCGACTTCTGATAAGACTGCAAATAATCTGAAAATACCTAAAGGATAGTTATTATCTGATGGGTTCACTGACTAACCATCCTTTTTCCGTCCAAGTCACTCTGTATTCGGATGACATAGACTACTAGAACTTAGCGATTTTATTTAAACTGGAATAGGTGCGTTTGAAATGCAAGTTTTGCTTTGTCAACCTGATGAGTAAAAACTAGTACGAAATCAGGCGTGTAGTGCAGTGGCGCCAGAAAGTAACACATTACATGTTCTAGCTCCGGCCCCGTTGGGCGAAAATACCAAGGTTTACTTCTTAGCGAAGCCTGATGCATAAGACGGATGGTCCAGGCGAATTGGACTGCCTGTCTTAGTAGATTGTGCATCGAAATTCGCACGGTCCTGTTTTTTGAAAATACCGCCTTAGTGTACCAGAACAAATGTGTAAAATTAGGTACTATGAATGGAATGTCTCAAAATGACTGTTGGACAGTTACTACACCTCAAAGCACGTGAAAAAGGCAGGGATGAACACTTTGTAGTAGTGACCTTATACAGTAAATGAGTTGTTGCCAATAAAATAACTAGTGCCCTGAGGCATATCGGTGGTGAAGCTAACAGAGCTCCTTCGATGTTCTCTCTGCTCCAGTTAGAAGCAGTCGGATGAACATTGCTCATAGCCTTGGGAAATGCAGGCTAGCAGTCCGGACCAATAGGCTTAGGGGAGAAAACAAAACTATCAGAGGGACCAAAGCATGATTTTTCACTGGAGGTTTCGCAGTGAAACAACAAGTTAAGCGGTGTCTGAACTTGGCTGTTCATGAACTATACTCGGAGAAGGTTATAAAGGAAACATTTTGATCATGCAAGCGGTGATAAGCCAAACGCGTCATCCAAATAACCCTGAAGATGGATAAGACACAAGCATGCATATATCATGCATACATAGGAGGCAAAATTGTTGGAAACCATGGCAAAAGTCTTTCGATAAGAGTGAGACGGCCCATTAATGTGGCTTATTGTTGGATCTGCTTTAACCTGTATGAATTGCACGACTTTCAAAATAAGATCGGTTTCCGACCCTTTTCTCCATTGCGATCATGATTAATCTCGTATATCGGGGCTAGTCCAAGCATATTTGAGAGCAATTTTCCTGTGAGGGTACTTCTGTTTTCACAATAGGATCCCATTAGTTAAATCACCAATATCGCTGTTCTCTTTTGGACTCTGGGAAGGAAACTTTGTTGTCGGTAAGATCAGTTTTTGGACAAATTTTCGCTATCACTTGCTCTGAATGCCGTCGTACAAGGCCGATTTCCTCACGATGCTCCCCAGGTTGAGGTAGCTGGAATTAAACACAGGTGTTATGTAGTCACGAAGCTTGGAATGAGTTTGATTATGTGATCAATTAGATCGTTGTATTGTCCGAAAGCACATTCAGTCACCAATAACATTAAAACAACGCCATCGATGTACTACCGCGGTTACGCAAGCACTATGAGTCCATCTTCAAACAATGAAGTGCTAACAGTCCGAACGTGTTGAGGCTAAATAAAAGGACGCATACGAAATGCTGAGTTGAACATATCGCTACTGTGCAGCTTGTAGTTCGGGCGAAGGTATGGCTGGGGGATATTCATAAGGCTGCGCAGCGGATCGTATTAGCAAGCTTACCGCTAAACTACAAAAGATCGATAAACATTGAGAAACCCGTGGGCTGCTTGCTTTTCTTTAATTCGTCCTCGAACTTTAACAATTGTTAAAGTGTAACGCTAATCTTGCAAATGCGAAGAGAGAGTTTGATCTTCTTCTTAAATTATTGTTGGGTGGAGCCTGGGATACTAGTTGGTAATCAATGACACGTAAGAGACGTGTCAAATGCGGGACAGTATAGAAGTTGGAGGCGACTGAACCCAAAGCATATTGTGCAGGCCACAAAAATAGGGTGCGAATCAACCAGAGCGAGAAACGGTGCAGCAAGCTACTCACCAAAGTGATTTGTGTCAACGGATGTGCCGTCAGTAAAACAAGTGGATGCTTTAAAGATTAAAACAACCGTACAACCGCATGTTGCAAAATACTGAAAGCACGTGCTTTCCGGTACACTACAAGGGACTCCCGTAGAAGGCTGAAGGATAAAACCTTCGTTGAAGCTGTTAGTGGGGGAAAACTGAAGGTGAGTTTGGATGCGAATAGCTGCGTGGGCTTGAACAAGGGCTTCCCAGATGGGGTGTGTAGCCGTTCGCTGGGTCCAGGCTTTCGTTATTATTTAATTGTCATGCTCGCGCAGACCAGAATGCATCTTCGATAGGCCGTCGGGATGGGCTGGTTGGACTGCAAAACAAACCGGCTAGTCCAGAAAGAGGGTCGAGAGAACATTCCCTCCGTTGCAGACCGGACGGTGCGCTTGGAAGATGTCACTCCCCTTACCGCACTTCAATCCACGGTCCTCGTCCCAAGGAAAAATCCAGGCGTCCTCGTCCCACGAAGAAATCCGGCGTCCTCGTCGACAACGCTTAACCATGCTTGTGGGGACCAACCCTTTCTTGGCTGTCTGCGTCCGAGGGCGACTGACTACTTCTTGGTCAGGAAGGGGCCTTGGGTCGGCTGGCGAGTCACTCGCGCGTTGCATTGTGCCGGTTGGCGAGCCGATCGAAGGTTGCGTTGGCAGTTCCGGCGGTTGAGTTTCTGGTAGGCCAACTCAGAAGGGGTGGAAAAGGTCGGGGTAGTGGCATGACGCCGGAGAGGGTGCATGGCATGCATGATAAAATCAAATGGGCTTTTCAATTTTTCAAAATATTTTAAGTTTTTTTTATCGGTTTTGCAACCCGTTTGTGGATCAGACGCACGATTACCACTAAAGACAAAAGAGGCGTGTTAATGGAAATAGCAAACGTTTACAAAATCTGGAAAACATATCGGACATTTGACCTGTCTACCGAATCGGTCGGTTGCCTGGGGTCGAGGCGGGGTAGGTTGAGGGTCAAGGAGAACGGAGGGTTTCTGGATGTTTAGTGCTCGGGAAGTCACCGCATGTGCGAGTGCTTGTGTGATAGCATCAGGATGGGTTGCAAGGGGTTCGTCAAAGAAAGCCACTTTCAGGCGGTCAAGGTACACCGTCGTTCCATGGACATTCTGGTCTAAAGTGCAGTGTTTCGGTGTCCGTTGCAGGACTGAATGGGCCAATGCACGGAGGCTGGGGATTGCGCCGCACTGCGTCGGTGCGCAGGAAGAAGTGAGTGCAGCTAGAGAGTCCGCTGTGCATTTGCACATCTCTAGTCTGCTCACGGGGCGGAGTCGGGCGTAGTTAACCCATGTGTTGGGCTAGGGAGGACGCAAAGTTAGGCGGAGGTATACCCGACGATGCGGAACGTGAAACGAATTCTCCTGGCAACTTAAACGTTTTGCTCTAAACCAGCTCTTCTGGTGCAAATCGCAATTTAGTTTTTATGCTGCTGCGAATGCCTAAGAGTACGAACGAAACATTTTCGCTCCAGCTAGGGTCGGAGCAGACGCAGAACGAGGCTTTAAGCTGTCTATGGAAGCGTTCAACTAACCCGTTGACTGCTGGATGATACGCTGTTGTATGAATGCGGCGACAGCCTAACAACTTGCAGAACGTATCGAATTGTGAAGATTCAATAGGCGTTCCTCGGTCAGTTGTAATGGTGGATGGGCACCCGTAGTGCGAGACCCCCCGATCTAAGAAGGCCCGAATAACGGTCTCAGCTGTGCAGTCTGTTAAGGTAATAGCTTCTGGCCATCTCGTGAATCGGTCGACACATGTAAGAATGTATACGAATCCGCGTGACGGAGGCAAGGGACCTACCAAGTCTAAGTGTACATGCGAGAACCGAGAGTCCGGCGCAGGGAATGAACCAAGAGGACTGCAGGTGTGACGAGGTATTTTGTGGCGCTGGCATTGAAGGTATTCGCGAGCCCAGGTACGAACATTTTTGTTTACGCGTGGCCAAAGGAAAGGTTCTGTGAGTAGTTTCAAAGATGCACGGACACCGGAATGTGATAGTGAGTGCAGAACGTCAAAGACTGTGCGTCTGAAGGAGACGGGCACGAGGGATCTAGGACAACGTGTGGAAGTGGCACAGGGAATGGTTTCTTCCGTGGTTTGGAGAGGAACTAGTTGCACATGCAGCGAAGTGGACTGCAGAGTGCGTTGTATGTCTTCATCTTGAGTCTGAGCCGATGCCATGGCGGCAAGGTCGACGGTAGGCAAAGACTGGAGGGTGAGGTTGACGCGTGAGAGAGCGTCGGCGACGGGATTGTCGACACCTGAGACATGACGTATGTCAGCAGTGAAGTGCGTGACAAAGTCTAGGTGTCTTGTTTCCCGTAGTGAATATTTGTCGCAAACAGAGTTGAAGGCGAAGATGTGGGGCTTGTGGTCAGTGTAGACCATGAAAGCGCGGCCTTCGAGTGTGTGCAGGAAGTGACGAATGGCTAGGTAAATGGTGAGCAGTTCCATGCCAAACATGCTGTATTTGCATTCGCTGGCTGCAGGCGCTTGGAGAAGAACCCAAAGGGGTTGCCATTGCCCGCCAAGGTTGTTGTAGGACGGCTCCTACCACGACATCTGAGGCGTCATTCGTAACAGAAAGGGTGCAATCGATTAGGAATGAGCG